TCAGCCAAGATCTATTGGGCATCAGCAATGATACCCCTCATTCCATGGCCTCTTCTGAATCCGGCTTGAACCTCTGGAAGTTCCCTGTCAATGTATGTATGCTTGCAGCTGTTTCTGTATTACCTTTAGTAAAACTTTACTTGCATGGTATATCAAAGACCTTGTCCGATGATTTCCTCATTCCGTGGGGTCACCTCTCTCTGGAATGGGTACAAATATGGATCTCCTCCAATCAGTCAGCCAGATAGTTGTCTTCCAAATATCTTGGCATAGATGAGTGAGTGCCTCCAGTGCTGTCTCATTTTCTTGAAAGATTTCAATTTTTATTCCATCAATTCCTGGAGCCTTGTTCTTTACCAGTTCCTACAATGCACCATGGACTTCCTCCTGTGGTATCATTGTCTCTTGATCATATGCTACTTCTTGAAACGGTTGAACATCAACCATTTGCTTTTGGTACAGTGACTCTGTTTATTCCTTCCATCTTTTTCTGATGCTTTCTCATCATTCAATTATTTGCCCAGAGAATCCTTCAATAACGAAAGTTGAGCCATGAATTTTTTCTTCAGTTCCCCCAGCTTGAGAAATGCTGACTCCAGATTTTTGTACATTTCATTGTAATATTTGACTTTGTCTTCTCGAACTGACTTTTTTGAAATTTTCTGTTCAATTCTTGTACCTCCTCATTTCTTCCATTTGCTCTAGCATCTCTACTCTATGCTGGGAGCAAGTTTCAGTGTCTCTTCTGACATCCATTTGATCTTTTCCTTCATTCTTGTCTTCATAATGACTGTTAGCTTTCTTCCTGTATGGTGTTCTTGATGTCATCCCACAACTCTTCTGGTCTTTAGTGTTTAATGTATCAAATGCGTTCTTCAGATGATCTCTAAATTCAGGTGGGATATATTCAAGGTCATATTTAGGCTCTCGTGGACTTGTTTTCATTTTTTCAGCTTCAGTTTGAATTTGCATATGAGTAATTGATGGTGTGTTCCACAGTCTGTCCCTGGCCTTGTTTTGACTGATGATATGGAGCTTTTACATCATCTCTTTTCGCAGATGTAGTCAATTTGATTTCTATGTATTCCATCTGATGAGGTCCATGTGTATAATTGTCCTTTTTGCTGTCTAAAGATGGTATTTGAAATGAACAAATCATTGATTTTGTGGCATTCTATTATGCAATCTCCAGCATCATTTCTATCACCAGAGCCGTATTTTCCAACTACTGATCCTTCCTAACCTTTGCATTCCAATCACCAATAATGATCAATACATCTTGATTGTATGTTTGATCACTTTCAGATTGAAGAAGTTAGTACAATTCTTCTGTTTTATCCTCACTGGCTTAAGTGGTTGGTGTGTAAATTTGAATAATAGTGGCATTAACTGGTCTTCACTGTAGGCACATGGATATTATCCTATCACAGACAGCGTTGTACCTCATAACTGATTTGGATATATTCTTTTTGACAATGAATGCAACACCATTCCTCTTCAATTTGTCATTCCCAGCATAGTAAACTATGTGCTTGTCAGATTCAGAATGGCCAATACCAGTCCATTTCAGTTCACTAATGCCTAAAATATCCATGTTTATGTGTTTGACAATTTCCAATTTTCCTAGATCCATACTTCATACATTCCATGTTCCAATTATTCATGGATGTTTACAGCTCTTTCTCTTTATTTTGCATTGTGCCCCATCAGCAAATGAAGGTCCCGAGGGCTTTACTCCCACAGGCTTTACTCTATTCACGTCATAACGGTGAACTCTACTTTGAGGAGGCAGCTCTTCCCCAGTCGCATTTTGAGTGCCTTCCAACCTAAGGATCTCACTTTCTGGCAATGTATCTGACAGTTTTTCTCTGCTATTCATAATGTTTTCAGTGACTAAATATTCGGAAGCAGTTTGTCACTTCTTCCTAATCTGTCTTCGTCTGGAAGCTTATCTGAAACCTGTCCACTATGGGTGCCCTTGCTGGTATTTAAAATACTGGTGGCATAGCTTCCAGAATCACAGCAACTCACAAGCCACCATGGTACGGCGAACTGACAGACGAGTGGTTGATACAATATTTTACTGAAGGTTAATCATATTTCACAAAATCTTATCTGACTGAACTAACTGTCAGATTACAACTACATTGGCCAGAAGGGATATTACATAAGGCCGTTTATGACAGTAGCTCAGATACTTAACCAGTGCAAAGTCTACACATAAGCAGTAGTTTAAAGAGCAAAGTGTGACACTAGAGCAGAAATTGGAAGACAAGGATCAAAATTAGCCAAGAAAATTTAAAGCAAGTTGACTGAGTAGTTCAGGAACTAAGACTATGAGCTAGCACTCTCCTTTTATATAATATCCTGTATGTTTTATTAACTAACATTGTAACTCAAAGGAACCTATAAATGTTTAAGTGTATGGCATACAATGGACACTTAGTAAATATTTGAAGGAATTAAATATGTTGGAGTGCTCAACTTTTAGCTATTCAGACATGTATTTAAGGGCATGTGAAGCAAAGCTATAACCATGGGCTTAAATTTAGGAGCTCTTTTAGCTCTCGTTGTTGTTAGGTGCTGTCAA